GGAAAGACAGGGTCTGCTTATTTAAATTTTTTACATGTTCGTATATTAGATTGTTTCTTTCCAGCTTCTGGGATTCATTACTCTTGTGCCAAGTTAGGCACAAAGATACTACTGAGTGAATAGAAGTTAACATCTTAATAAAATGTTTTCCCTTTTTTTTTTTGGAAGAGGAGCAGCAAAGTATGTGGTCTGGCCTTAAAAAGAGCATCTAGCCTCTTTGCACTGAACAGATGACACTTAAAGCAAGTGGGGTTATTTTCAGTTCCCAAATATTCCTTTGACATAACTTGATTCCACTTCTGATAGAAAAGAAACCAGTTCATAAAGGTCTCCCTTCTAAAATGAACATATTTTCTTTTTAATGGCAAAATGCATGCAAAAAGCATATGATTATGGTATTTATGTTTCCATTAAAATGTCCTCAGCAAGCTGGAGGAGCCTAACCTACTATTTTCAAGCTATTTAGATTTACAGCAGCACAGTGCCTATTTTATTTCAATTATATTTCAGGACAATGCACTCTTGGTGGGAAATGATTACAGAGTGACAGCCAGTAAACGTCCATTAGGAGTTGTCTTTCTACATGCTGCTTAGCTATGGATGTCAGGTGATTGCTATAAAACCCTGTTGTATAGCATCATTGTCATCTACATGAAAAACACTATTGATCAGTCATGCAGCATCTCTTCTGTACAATGGAAAACATACTAGAGACATTTTTCAGCTAAGCTAAGAGCTTTATTCACAAGAAAACTGTTCTCAAGACACGTTTTTCCTGAACTGTAAAATAAACACAGATTATACATTCCACCTCGACTTCACTCCGTTGATGCCTAACATAAGAAGTGAAAAATTTCTTAGCAGCCTGTCTCTGTAAGCTATCAATACATAAGATGGAGCTTAACATCACAAGGGCAGATGACGTATATGCAGCTATACTGATCACCAGTATTTATTGCTGGAGCTTCACTTCTTCAATAAACTCCTCCTCTGATAAAAAAGGGAATCTGCTTTAATTCTCCAGGATCAAGAACAAAAAACAACTTTTCTCTGTGTGTGTGTGCGCTACTTGGAGAGACTTACTAGTGTAACTTGAACATAAATTAGTTCAAGATTCACAGGAGCTACTCACATGCATAGGCTATGTAGGAAGCCCAAAATAAAGATCCTTCCAAACTTCAACTACATATTTAACAGCCACTATCACAGAAAAACCAAACCAAACAAACACACCCCCCAAACCACACCAATACCCATCAATGGTCTAATGCTGATAAAACATAAATCGGCATTAAAGCAATTCTAAAACAGATTCAAGTCCTGTAAGGATATTTTTGAGTAAAATTTGCTGCTTAGAAGTGTGGGGCTTTTAATAGCCATCATTGGTAAGATGGATAAAACAATGTCATTTACACACATACAGATGTGCAATTTTCTGAAGTGTAAGTTAACATCTCTTTCTTGTTTCCTGTATTTTGGCATTATACAATCCAGTTTCTAATAAAGAGAAACAGACCATGTTTTTCTTACTGTTTTGTACTATCTGTCTACAATTGCAGTGCTTGGAATAAATACAAACATAAAATATATCCAAGAAGGAGAATGAAGAAACAGACCTGTTTTCAACACTGGTTTCAAGTTAGGTTATAAAATACTTGGAGGATCTCTGCCTGACAACTTGACAGTACCATCATTTGTTGAAGCACTATAATACTTATCTTTATAATATCCTTAAACTTGCAAAAAATTAAATAAAATTGTCCTTTATTCTGATGAACAGTATACATACTTGTCCTCCACTTTGTTATCATTCATATGCCATGACACAGTTAAATTTACATCAGTTGGTGGCCTGTGTTGATGAAAATAAGAGAGAAGTTGAAGGAATAGTAAAGAAAAACAAACCCTGTCAAGGCCTCACACACAGGCACAGTAATTCTCTTGCAAGTTAAGGAAAAAATTATCATAAGCGTTCAGCAATGGTATGCAAACTATTATGGGACATTTTGTTATAAGCTTCTTTGTAAGAGACTTTTGAATAACCTTTTGGACATACTTAAATGTCAAATTTTGTTTGGCACTAAGCACCAAACTTTAATAGAAATAACATTTCCCATATAAACAATGCTGCTTTTAATATGAACGTGCTAAAGATTTGAGACAGCCTGGTTGTTACCAGCTCCTGGCAGTTCAGCACAAGGGTAATGTGCTGTGAGTGATTTCCCTTCCCATCCACAAAGGCTGGAAGCAACTGTTTCTACTTAGGTAACCTCTGAAACATTCAGAGGAAAGGAAAGGATGACAGGGCAAAGGGGAAAAACACACTGAAAATAATGCTCACCAGAGGTGAACATTAATGTAAACACTATTTTAAGGATGCAGAACTGCAACCAACTGTTGGACAGTGAGAAACAAGTTGCAGTGCACAAAGGGTGAGGAGCCCGGTATCCTACAGTCGGGGAGATAACATAGTTAACAAGCACCTCAGGCCACAACTATTTTTTAAAATGATGCTCAGATGGTACTTTCTTAATACATCTAAGATAAAGTCTGTAAAACACAGAGCAGCCTTGGGAAGATGGCTCAGCCGCGACCCAGGCTCTCCTGCTGACCATTATATATGTTCAAGCTCACAGGCTTACTTCACACACCTCAAGGAAGACTGAAAGTTGCTCCCTCACAGCTGTTATATCTCCTCTGTGCCCAGCTAGATGATCTTTAAGGTCCCTTCCAACCCAAACCATTCTATGATTCCATGACATGCTCTGTCAGCAGTGGACCTGACTTTTGGGGAGTTAAATTTGAGCCTGAAACTGTGTAAGCAGCTGCAATGTTCCCCAAAAGCTCTCCTGGAGCTGGATTCACCAGCTCCACAGTATGGCTGTTAATAAAGGTGTGAGGAGACAGGGAAGAAAACCCCATACACCAGACCCTTGAACAGGTACTTCAGATTTACAGCAAATAACAGTCTTTTTCTATCTGAAATTGCCTATTTCTTTCCAGATATTTCTTTCTGAAAGTGCCTCCCCTTTATCACAGGACCTGTGGGGCTTTTCTTGCCTCAGTTCTAGTCCCTGACTTGCATCTCCTCTCTTTGCTCAATCCCACTGTGTGTGCTGGGCCTTCCTTTTTGTTACAGTGTGATCCAGCTGTGAGAGACAGACCCTTCTGTGCTTCAGGAGCAGCCTGAAAGTGCAAAACCACCACACTGCTCTTCAGTCCTACCCATGTGATTAACATCAGATTCCCCCCAGTACTCCGTTATCTTCAGTTCGACTCACTCTCTCCCGGCTCTTTTATCAGCAATCACACAGAGTTAGCTAGGTCACACAGGTCTTACATTTCACTGTGCCAGGTTTGCATCAAAGAACTTTTTTTTTTGTTGATGTGACATTGGTGCCATTCAACTCCAGCATGAAACACTGCCTTTGGTCTAACAAAAACAGCCGTGAAAGTCACCACATGGCAGCCATATCCAACCAAGCTATCTTGATTTCCAAAGGCACAAAAGTGCGTAAATGTCAGGCACCAGGGCATACCAGTGCCAGTCAACATAAGGCTAAGGAACAGAAAATTATAAGGGCACAGATGAAGCTGTCATCTTTTAACATTATTTTGCTTCCTTCACTGAAATAATGTAGTTATCCACAAAACATAAGTTATTTTTATTTAATATGGAAAGTGGACCTTTTACATAGTGCATAAAAAGAGAACAGTGTGATTGAGAAAATAAAAAGGCAGGTGTGCTACTGAATTTTAGTAAAAATTTATGCATTCAACAATGCAACCAAGATTTTCTTAGTTGTCATATTAGAAGACATATTTTTACCCATATTATGCAAAGGAACTTTTCGAAATTGATCTAGCGGAGGGTTAAATGCACTATTTATGGTCCTCAGTAAGAAAGAGTTTTGGACAACCGAACTCTGCACAACCACAACTTTTCTTAAGACCAAATACAAATGACTCCATTACTGCCTAGAACAGAATATGCAAGACAAATGCCAGTCCTCCCGTAGAGCTATACGGATCTTAAACACTGTAACCAAAGACACTGCTCTGCTGGTTTAACTGGAAGTCCAGTATTTTTCTTATGGAAAGAAAGGGGTATAAAACAAAACAATGAACTGTTTTACTATGTGTTAAATTAATATCCTCTGAATGAGTTAATGATACCTCCTGCACTAGGATTTTAATGTTAGCTTTTGTAAAGCTGAGAAAATGCAGAACTACAAGTTCATAGATGTAAGCCAAGAAAACAGATGTATTTTCATTGTTAAAGTACAAAAAACCTGTGAATTTTGCCTTTGGTTATTTCTACTTTATGTTAGTTTATATGCCTGTTTTAGCTTCAGGTTTTCAAATGAACTCAAAATTTCATCAACAGAAACCATAATTTTGCCCAATTTCAGCATAAAACCAAGCATGACACAGTTCAGAAAGTGCAGCCACAGGAAGAGTATAACTTATAAGCTTAAGCCTGAGAAGAGAAAGTAATTAATGAGTCAAGTTTGGAGTTAACTCACTTAGTCTATAATTAATCAAAATACTTGACCTGTTAGACTGAAGTTCAGCACTACAGTAGGACTAGAATCCAGGTACATTTTCACCTCTTTTGCTATAACAGCAAGAACTTTCTAGAGATTTTGTAACTGCTGTGAATAGGTTGGCAGTGTTGTGTTCTACAAACATATCAGTTAGAGGTCTAATAAATAAACCAGACGATGTTACAATTTGAACTTAATCTGAATGGTACCAAACAGCGACTCCAAAACTCCTGAAGAATAAGAAGAAGTTGCTCTGCAGAAAATAACTTCCATGTCCCATTCTGTTACAGTTTGATTTGTGTGAGCTCAATACTTTTCTATATAAAGGCTTTAAAAAAGTCATTAATAAAAAAGCAGTTCTGACTTTCCAACTGATGTACAGTCATCTCCCATGACAAAAGCATTACAAGGGTAGATTTTGAAAGAGCATATTGATTGATGTCTGGTGCCTACCTGTCTACAGGTGAAGACTTTGAATTCCGTGGTTTCTTTACTTGGGCATACAAGGCTTCCACTGTCTGCCCTTCCCTTGGGCTCTGTGGTCGGGTGTTCAGCATTATCGTGCCGCTATTTGAAGAAGAGTCATAGGAAGCAATCCCAGCGTACATTGGGTCCACATCACAGCCAAACGTCCGGTTAAAGTCCTGTATCTCTGCATAGTCACGTTCACGAGCTTGTCTCTCTCGAAATTCTCGAGTTTTTGCTTGAATTCTGAAAAATTAAAAGCAGGCTGAAACTAATGTTTCCCCCCTCCCAGTAGTTTGAAAGCAGCAGTTAACAGACGCTTTTGGTAACCCATCTTAATAAAAACCACTGATGTGTTTCCAGTTTCAGTTTGTTATGGAGTCTCAGGTTTATGTTGGCTATGGAAGCCTGGATCGAAACAACACTGGCCTTTAAGGACAAAGTCTGATTATCCACTTTTGTTTAATTATTAAGTTAAATAATGACTAGCCATAGCTGCTGATAAACAGAGTTTACCTGTTGTTTCATGCATCTTAGTATGCCTGTGCTATTACCTGACCTGAGAATGACAGGTCAATATGCCTGTCTAGATACCATACATATTGCCTTGTACTCCATCAAAACCTGTCAGATTTAATGCCTGTATTTAGAGAGGAATTGTAATGTACTCTCTTGTCCAGATACTACAAAAACCATACTTCTTTCAAACTTGAAAATCTTCATAAGGATAGGGGACACACACATATATATTTATGTATGCATAGATGCAGCAAACAGCAGAAGTAGATTCTGTGTGAATCATTTAAAATGTGCATGTTTTGTTTAAAATGTAAACGAACTGAATCTGGCATCTCTCGAAAGTAGGCAGTTTCTTCTCATAAAGTAATAACATGTGCCTTATGTTAAAGTTACAAATGAAACCTGATGCTGCACTGGGGTTTTGTATCTAGGTATGTTTGTTTAGCTGTATGATAAAAAGTAACAAATAAAACCAGATGACATTTAGGAATCTGACAAAAACAAATTGAGTGCAGGTCATATTTTCAAAAGCACACAAAGCTATTACTAAAATTTAATCCGGGCTTCAAAGTTTCTTTGTCATTTTAGAAAATTTGATGTATCACACACACATGCACAGCGAACTGAAAAAAAAACCCAACCCCCCCAACATAGTCTCCCCAGACCAATTTAATGCTCTATCATCATTGCAAAATGAAGTACTCGGATGTCTCCTCCCTTCCATTAGTAAAATGTGCTCTTTTTTCATCTAATACAGCCACAGCTACACAGTGTGACAGCATCCATCCATTCAGACTACAGCTCTGTGCACCTCAGTTACATGACATTTCCAAAGAGCTTGTTCACCAACTTTTAACAAGAGCAGACTACTTTAAGCCTTGTCTCTTCTGAAAATAGAAAGGCTTTAAAGTTAGGTAAAACTTTGACATTTTCAGAAATTTTAAACTTAGCCCCATTCAAGGTTAATCTTTGCAAAAGAAAAGGGGATACACAAATAGTGGGATTCAGGCTGTAGATAAAGTCCTCAGAATTTAGGTGCCTGCAGTATGGGAGGTCATGCCAGCTACATGTGCAGGCTCCCTTTGCAGTCTGGGGAACTGTAAGTCAGCAGACTCTAGAAACACACAGCTACCGTGTTAGCTGGTGTGTCCTAGCATGAGAAAAGTCACTCCATAGACACTTTTGATGATGTTTAAGTCTTCCTTGGGAGCTTGTATACCCAGCCTTGATTCAGCTGCTCAGACATAAGCAGCTATGGCCACCTGACATCCCCAGGTAATCCTGCTGGACCTCCCACTGCTGGGCAAGAAGGACCCCTGTAGGTCCTTATCATGTCTTCCAGGCCCATGCTGACATCTCAGAGACTGTGATAACTCAAATGACACAAGCCAGCCGTGTTCAAGCATGTGAATACAGCCCTGAACTGCACATGAACATCTAAATTTAAGTGTCTTCATCAGACTAAGTCCCAAGCAAATTGTTCTTTCTATGCTAACAAAGATTGCTGTAACAAAAGAAGGGAATAGGAGAAGTGATAGGCAGTCCTTTTTCCCTCCCAAATCTTGCAAATATTGACCAAGGGTACTGATCTGGGATACAATTGACTGGATGAATTCTGTTCAACAGTCAGTACCATCTACATTGACAGCTCAGTGATTCATTTACATGCTCTAAGTTATACCTGAGAATAATTCCTCTTTTTATGTCTACTACCACTGACTTGTGCACCACTCTTACTCATAGTCAGTCACAGTGGAAAGAAAAACAGACACACACACACACACACAAAGGCAAATAGAAGAAATCTGAGAAAGTTTAACTTAAAGATAAATTTTTAATTTTTAATTTTGCAAATAAAAATATTTTATTTACTGGTTGCTTTTTATTTTAATAGGGAAAAAATGAAAATGAAAACTGTAACACTGTTCAGTTTGCAGCATGTCTCCTCTGCAACTTCAGCACATTAAACTGGAATTTCTTTTGTTTACACTGAAGAAGGACTCAAGTTTAAATCCAAACTCCATTTCAGGATTAAACTGTGTTTCTGCACGCTTCTTTTTAAAATAAAAATGTAACTTTTACATTGTCCTATATTCCAAAGCTGCAGTTCAGAAGTGTTGCAACCTTAATCACTTGGAAGGTATCTATGCAGAAGGAAAAACAGGCCTGAAAATGACCTGTGGTTGTCAATTCCTCACTTCCAATTTGTAGTTCTGTTGTCATGGTTTAACCTCAGCCAGTAACCAAGTATCACGCAACTGATTACTCACTCCCCTCACCCGCAGTGGAACGGGAAGCAGAATCAGAAAAAGTAAAACCCATGGAGTGAAAAGAACAATTTAATAATTGAAATAAAATATACTACTGCTAGTATTAATTGTAATGAAAAGGGAGATAACAAAAAGAGAAAGAGAAATAGAAGTCAAGAAAAAAACAAGTGATGCACAGTACAATCGCTCACCACCCACTGACTGATACCCAGCCCATCCCCAGGCAGCAATTGGCCCCTCCTGGCCAGCTCTCCCCAGTTTATATGCTGAGCATGATGCCATATTGTGTGGAATATCCGCTGGGTCACTTGGGGTCAGCTGTCCTGGTGTGTCCCCTCACAGCTTCTTGTGCCCATTCAGCCTCGTTGCCAGCAGGGCATGAGACACTGAAAAGTCCTTGACTTAGTATAAATATTACTTAGCATCAACAAAAAACATCAGTGTGTTATCAACATTATTCTCAGACTATATCCAAAATATAGGACTGTACTAGCTACTAGGAAGAAAACTGACAATATCCCAGCCAAAACCAGGGCACCTGTATTAAATACAGGCGGAGGATTGCATTTGTCCATTGATACTTGTCCTCTGAATGGGAGAAGCAAAGGAAATTAGAAATTTCCTAGGCACTGGTAGATTTAATTTCAACAGACAATGTATCGTGAGATACTGCAACACTGACAGACACCAATTAAGGAAAAAAAAAATCATATATTTTAGATAACCAGAATTTCAGAGTATGAAATCTGATGGCATAGCAATAATGTGGCACAGAGTAATTCAGTCAGAAGGAAACACTGTCATCTGAAGTCCTTATAAAACAGAATTACCAGGCGGTAATTGGTGATATTGGCTTCAGTGTTACATTGACAGCTATGAGAGATGCCACTGAACTTATCTGAATTCTGACCATCACATCACTTTCCTCAGGTGTAGACAGGAGTGTCCCCCATTTCATGTTTGCCAATTTTTCTCATGTGTCTACTTTCAGCTACTTAATATGTTTGGATGCAGCAACATTTGTAGCAAAAACATAAAGATTTTTCTGTGCATGGTTCAATGAGGGCTACCTATTACTGCTCAATTGGGAAAGAACTGATTGTTGAACTGTTATGCAAGTAATTATCTTCAGACCCACCAGGAAAATTTTAGAATATTTTCTACAATTGCTAATACAGTGTGTTAATACACATATGCAGTAGTAAGAAATAGACTCTAAATACATTATAAATCTTCATGCTAATTATAACCAAAGTACCCAGTAACCATTTGCAGTAACATTTAACAAAGAATAACCCTCAAGTGAAACTTATATCTGCCTACACTGACACTCAAAATGTTTGGATTTTTTTCTTTTAATAATTTTTTTGTGCTTTAAGTTTAAACCACTGTGGAAGTCCTATCACTTTTACAATCCAAAAAGTATAGGTATTCTGATTACTTAAAATAAAATACAGCTTTGCTTTTGCCCTCTCCAGGACACACTGCATTTAAACATTAGGTCTCCAAACCCAAAAGAACCAAATGACCAGAGAAAAATACATAGACATACTCTTGAAAAGAATAATAGCTATCAGCTGAATATTGCATTATCCCTTTTGCAATTATATTAGTTTTTAACTCTGGGTGTATTTTCATACGAGAACTTAATGCAATGTTATTTTTTGTGTTGACCTTCCGCCTTGTGGGTGTGCCTATATGCGTGATATGGCCCAAACTATTTGTTAGCATATACTGATTTTAGAATACATATGGGAAATGCCAGTGAAGACTACTGTGGAAAAGATTAACATGATTATGTAAACAGCACAGACAAGAACCTGGAATTTGCTCCTTACTTCAGCCGCAATCAGCAATGATCCCACTATTGAAATCTGGAGAAGTGTTTGACTACAGTGCTTTGGTTTCACAATGGGGATATGCGTATTAAGCTGTCTTGACTGAATTGTATTCATTCATGACATGGCACAATAAAAATGCATATGTCTGAAATTTCACATCAGCTAATTTTGAGGATTTATGGCCTTCCTACAGATTTTGTGTGGGTTTAACAATAACAATAATAATAATAATGCTTAGCATTCACATAAATCTTTTCATCTTCAAAGAATTTTGCAAAAACTGCTAAAGAATTTTGCACTGTTTAAATAAAACTGAACTTTTGAAAATACAAAAGCTATCCCAAGAAGTTTCTAAACCCTTTTTGCTGAAGTTTTCATACTGAAAATGTCAACAATGTACTGTCATGCTTTTGAATTATAATGTTCAGTAAAGTATAAACTATACTCACGCATTTGTGTGCCATTCAATTCAAAAGCTTATAACTGCTTGAAATGACAATATCGTTAGCTGCAAAACTTCCTGTAATTGTTAGAAGGGCTTTTCATTGCAAGCTAATCCAGTAATGATAGACATACCCATCGTATAGCGATTCCTATGCACATGAAATGGTCACAA